CGCTAAATGAGACTGGAGAAGGTTTAGCAGAACTGAAAGCAATAACAGAGAAGAGAAGGGCAAACGACAAGAAGGAGGCACAGCAAGGAGACTAAAGACCAAAGTTGTAATAGTTTTTAGTCATTAGTTGCTAATTTATAATTCCTAATTTTTAGTTTTTAGAGGTAGAATAAGTAAAGTAGTGCAATAGAATAGAGTGGAAAAGAGGGGAGGTAGACATGTAAGAAGAGAAACAGACATAAGAGATGTAAAACCGAAAGTTCGTCTAAAGCCGAAAGGCACGGACTAAGCAATAATAATAATAATAATGATAATAATAATAATAATAATAATAAATAATATAATGTTTAATTTTTATATTTTTGTGATATCTACAAAATGTGCTTTAGTGCACAAAATGTTGAAGACATATTCATATAATATTAAGAAGAGATTAAATATGTATATTTATATATTCCGTTATGTAAACGTAAATATACATATTTATTCAATTTTAAAAAACAAATATTTTTTCCGAGTTATTACGAGGAATATCTATTTTATATTAGGAACAAAATATTTTCTTCGAAGAAACCAGAAATATTTATTTTATATATTAAAAGTAAAATATTTTGCTTTTAAAACATTGAGAGAATTATATTTGTATCTTCAATTTTGTTAACAATATTATGTTTTATTTAAAAAAAATTAATTATTAAAAAAAACAAAAAGCTTCTATCGACTTTAGTTCATATATTCCCCGGTCATACAAAATTGCAATAAAAGCAAGTAACTCGATAATTGAAACTGTCTAAACACTTTTTAAAACGCTTATAACATGTTTGTGTTGCTTATCAAGTGGTTCTTTGGATATTTTTCTCCTTGCTATCTGACGATTTCCCTGCTTCTTCACTTTCACCTGACTCGAGAATTTCAATTCCATCCTTGTTTTGAGGTAATTCGTTTTCATTTTCTTCACAGTTTGTGCCAGAGCACGCCTCACTTATACTTATTATTTTCTCAATATGTTATCTCCTCTTCTAGACACATTCTGATGCACATAGAAGGGCTATTATTTGTCAAAACAATGAAAAGTTGCATTTCACAATAATGTCACTGATACCCAAAATTCTCTTCTAATGCTTGTCTCTTCCTAGGGGTTTCCTCTATAATATTTTTCTTTATAACGTAAATACGAAGGACGTTTTCTCAGCCACGTTAAATTTCTATGAATACCACTATGGAGGACAGTACTCATAAGTAAAGAAGAGTAGCTACAACTGATGATACTGAGAACAATAGTCAACGACCCATGGTATGTCAGAAACGAGGATATATGCAAAGACATAAAAATAACAATGGTCAAAGTCGAAATCGGTAGGTATGCAGAAAAATACAGGAGAAGAACGGCAATACATCAAAACCAGCTGGCTGCTGAAGCGAGAAAGACTTTCATAAAAAGAAGACTTAAAAAAAAAAAAAAAATACCTCACTGACGTCACTAAAGAAAGAAAGTACATAAACTCGAAGATGGTATTTCGCTAGGGGTAGCCTTCTACATGTTATTTAGCAATTACGCTAGGAAAATTTACAGAATGTCTAGCTGGACAAATTGTAAAGTATAAAAAAAACAACGTTAGGTTTGAGATATTCGAAGTATCGCCGCTGTATTGTTTATGTCTACTTCTGATGTTCATTTTTTCGAAAAATTAACACTTTCGTCACGTTTATATTTATTGAATTTATTAATGCTTTGATTAGCGAAGTCAATTTACTAGCATTAATGCTTAATTTACGATTGTGTCAAGTCGACGTGTATCCGTAGAGATAGCTATACCAATTATTATTTAATTCAAATTTAAAAGTTTCGAAGAAAATGAATTGTGTGTATATATATATATTTGTCTCATTAAATGGATAAAAGTTAGTACAAGTGGTGGAAGAGAAATCTAAACGGTTTATGTAATTTTCCTCGTGAAATTCGAAATGTATGAAAATAACGTGTGCCGTAAACCTAGCGATAAAATTTCCGGTTTATAATTATTAATATATTCGTAAACGACTTGTACAAAAATTTGAATATTTTCGCGAGTCATTATAATTACCTACGTGAGTAACTCCTACTAGAACTTATTTTTTTGTTTATTGCTGTTGTTCGTTTGCTGGGCTCAGGAACCGGCTGTATGACTAAAAATCTACTAGTATATTGTTGTTGTGAGTGACTAATAGTAGTAAAGGAGGAACAATAATAGGCTTCATGCAGTACCGATTGCGAATTTAGTGTGTTCCAATGATCCTGGTATTTTGTGCGAAAGAATAAATCGAAAATATGCAATAAACTCTTTTCATGTTCCGCTTCGTTTTTGATAAACTTGAATTTGAAAGTGTGTATGGATATGTGAATTTGGCTAATTACCAACTAAGTATGAATGAATAATCAGCAAGTATGTGCGAAAATAAGTCGAAAAAATAGAATAATTTCCTTTTCTTCTGAGACCTCGTTCTGAAGACAACTGAGATTGAATATTTTTAATTAAGAATTAAAAGTCAATTCCCATACGGCTTGATACGCGCGTACTTCCCAAATTTTCAAACTCGATTTCCCATATTAACGAAAATATTCGAAAATATAAACAAACTTTATTCTATTCTATTCTATTATATTTTATTTTATACTTTAGACTTATTTTTTCAGGTAGAATCCCACTCTAGCTAATTCATTACTAACAATGATATAGCATGTACAGGGTGGTTGGTAACTGGTGGTACAAGCGGAAGGGGGGTGATTCTACGCGAAAAAAGAAGTCGAAAATATAGAATAAAAATTTTTCGTTCGAGGCTTTGTTTTCGAGAAAATCGACTTTGAATTTTCGCTCGGTACGCGTGCACTTTATCACGTCTCGTTATAACGGATCTCACTGTAGATTTAAAAAAAGATTAAAAAAAATTTTTATTCTATATTTTCCACTTCTTTTTTCGCGTAGAATCACCCCCTTTCCGCTTGTACCACTAGTTACCAACCACCCTGTATATTACGGTATTAGATGCCAAGTAGTAAACAACCGCCGTCTATGCACAGATCAAATATTTTTTTACCACAACTGTTCAAACTCTTTTTAATATAAATTAAGATACGAATATAACCTAGAAGATGGTAAAAGTTGGAAGGTTCGTGTTGGGTTTTCCCAAAGTTCGGGCGAAAGTAACCCACATAACTTTGATGATAAGAGAAAGAGAGAGAGATGAGTCAATGTCGAGGTTCTATTGTACAATAATTTACTAAGTAAATAAATGAGAAATTTTTAACATGTCCCAGCAACTCTGAATCATTTTTACCATGGGCTACCAGCTGTTCCGAAACTACTTGTAATCGTATTTACAATGTCGCAGCACCTGCGACAATAACGTTGTTAATTCCATTTGCGCTGTTGCAGCGACGGAGACAACAGAGTGCAGAAGGTTAATCATTTTCAAAACGAATAGATAAAATAAAAAGTAATAAATAAATAATTTGTAAAATTTAATTTGTTTTATTAGCAAGCTTATTACTGTTTTCTAAAGATACTTATTAATTTATGAATGTTTAATTCATGACTGGTGAAATTTTACTGGTAGTATTAGCTCAATCGTGCAGGAAGGTCTATGATTATTAACTGAGTTTTTAAAACAATTTTATGTTCAGTTGCGCTTAGTACGTAACGCTATCTTTTGATATGCGTCGTTGCATCATTCCTTACTTTTATTACAGGCTGATATTTTTCTAAATGATATTCTGATTGATTTTTTGCTCCTTTTATATGTATACATATTGTATTGTATATAATACTTATTATATATATATACACATGTATTCACGGTGATTTATGCATTTTTTTCTGCCTATATGAAAACACAAACTTGTAATGTTAGATAACGAGTTCTCTTTTATTTATGGTAAAACGATGAAAGAATCGATTGTACATCTGCCATGTCTCCTTATAAACTTATAAGCGTTTCATTGCGATTTATCGCTAAATTGCAATGGTTACCACCTATGCAACACTTGCGATTTTTTCGAAATGTCGTGAAATGAGATATTTAGTATTTCATAACTTAATTAAGTGAGAATAAATAACAAAAAAAAAAAGAATAGTCATATTATTTCTAATCTCTTCAAGAATCCTCGAAAGAAATTTGTTACTAGTACACCGTGTATATGATGACTCTTTCTGCAAATTATTTTCCATTTGACTATTTATACACTAACATACCACTTATGTTATTTGCGATATAAATTTTCTTATCTTAAACATATTTAGTAACCTGACTGTAACACGTGAACACTTCATATAATCTCTTAGTAACCACCAAGGCTGTTCAGCAAAACGAGGATTATAAAAAACCGAGGTTACTTAACAGGTCTTCCCGAGGAAGAAACGTTGAAGTACAATATCAAATCAGAGCATTTACCAATTAAATAAAGAAAAATATATAAATATGGGTGATATATATTTTTTTCTTTATTTAATTAATAAAAAGAATAATATATGTAACACGTGAACATTTCATATATTGTGTTAGCAAACATCAAGGCTGTTCAGGAAAATGAGGAAAATAAAAAACTGAAGTTATTTTTAACAAGTCTTCCTAAGGAAGCAATGATGAAGTACAATATCAAATCAGAGTATCTACCAATTAACATGTTGACGCCGGCGTACGCCATCGGCGGCTCACACGTGTCTGTACCGAGGAGTGGCGATGGGTCACACATGTGTTTCACAAAACAGGTTTATATTATTTTATCTCAACATTATAAGCAGACATACGATAGTAAAAACATAACAATTCAATATTATAAAATTAACATAATTATTTCCTTTCTTCATGTAATTTTTTAAAACAAGTTAAGCAGAGTGCCTATGGGGTTCGCTATTAATGAAAATGATAAATAATTTCTTCGCGAAATTTTAAAATTTTAATACTTTTAGTATCCCATTTTCTATGTACGTACCACGCATTTACGAGGCAAGACCCACATATTAATTCCATTACAATTTTTTTATACCATTTTATAGTTCCGCTCAAACAACTATAATAAGATGACATCTGATCGGATAGATCAAACCCCTTTTTAGCATCATTATAAAAGAAAAAACAGTGTTTGGCTTCAATTTACTATTTTTCCTCTGAACAATAACACATCTATGATTTTTGGAAGTAGCTAGCATACATACTGACCTTTTGTCAGTCCATTTTACGTAACTTAACACTATTTTCGTCGTGCATGTTCTTTACGCGCGCCGTTGTTCTCCGACGAACATGCATGACTATTCTTTTTTTCTGTACGGAATTGAAAAATTTTTGGATTCTCGCTATAAACGCCTCTTATAGAAAAATGTTCACAGAATTGCGTGCGATGCTCAGAATTCGCGTCAGACCTCTACTTTTTGAGAAAAATCGAAAAGAGTACAAAATTAGGGCCAAAGCTGGTCCCGCCAGCTTTACTTAACATTTATAGATATATGCAAATTGATATTGACAAACTGTTGTATATCAATGTATTAGTTAAAGTCCACGGAATTTATTGAACCCAACAGGAATCGTATAGCTTTTGTAATTTTGCTGTAAATTGAGGTCAAAGTTGAAAAATTGCGGTCGTGTCGAATAGTCTAATTCGGGCGCCGCTCCACGGAGAAAACCGTGAATATCGACACCGGTGTCAACGTGTTAAATAAAGAAAAATATATAAATATGGGTTATCATCCATTATGTGTATATATATATTTTCAATATGTACATTTTTTTAATATACAGGGTGGTTGGTAACTGGTGGTACAAGCGAAAAGGGACCCCTTTCCGCTTGTACCACCAGTTACCAACTACCCTGTATATATATTTTTAATTTTTCGTTTGATTCTTTGTTTTCGAGAAAATCGACTTTGAATTTTCGCTCGGTACGCGTGCACTTTATCACGTCTCGTTATAACGGATCTCACTGTAGATTTAAAAGAAAATTAAAAAAAAATTGTTATTCTATATTTTCCGCTTCTTTTTTCGCGTAAAATCACCCCCTTTCCGCTTGTACCACCAGTTACCAACTACCCTGTATATATATTTTTAATTTTTCGTTTGATTCTTTGTTTTCGAGAAAATCGACTTTGAATTTTCGCTCGGTACGCGTGCACTTTATCACGTCTCGTTATAACGGATCTCACTGTAGATTTAAAAGAAAATTAAAAAAAAATTGTTATTCTATATTTTCCGCTTCTTTTTTCGCGTAAAATCACCCCCTTTCCGCTTGTACCACCAGTTACCAACCACCCTGTATATTAAAATGCTGACTTTTCTCGTTGGTTAGATTCAAACAAAAATTACATTCAGAATTTCTGAATAACGAACTCACTGTTTTTAATATCAATAATAAGTACCGAAAATGTAAATACTTTTTGGAAAATTGTAGCAACAATGATACCATTTGATTATTACATCTAAATAATTATTTTGTTAATGTTATATTTAGATATTGCCCAGTGCTAAGATATAGTACACGCTGTTTGCTACTTTCTTCCCTTGTTTACAGCGTTCAAGGAATATATCTTTAGTTAAACCTCTGTATACTTTCTTACTCACTAAATAAATACGAATCATCCCTCAATGGTCCTCTTTTACCGTCGTGTAACGGTATTGAACAGTTCAAAGCCGGTTATGAGAGGGAGTATCTTACGATGGTAGTGAGTCGACCGGGATAGGACAACGCCGCAGGTACCTGTTAGGGTTACTCATGACGCATCATTTACCCCCGAAAACTGATTTCTATACTTTACAGTTTTAAGCGGCAGTATAAAAGGCCCTAGGGGTTGCACACTTAGTTCAGTACGTCTGAAGTGCTTACATGGTCTACGTGCAGTGCCACTAGTGTATACCAGAAGTTCTCCGATCGTTTCGACAGTTTTCCTATTTCGTCGCAGTTAAAGACGGTCTCTATCCACGTACACGAACGTTGGCTTCCGATTCGTTCTGTTTTGCTCTTCGTCGACCGAGATAAAACGCGAATCGACTTGTCCGTTGGCTGTTGACTAGTTATATCAATAACAAACATTACTTCGAATCGTGGAAGATATGTAAGTAAACACATAGTAATGTGGTAGTAAGAATATTTGTCACGTTCCGTAGCATATTTTGAAAGACTTCCTACGAGCGGTGAGATATGACACGAGCAGAATTTCGTGTGTACCACGTGGTGCGGTTCTATTACGTGACGGCAACGAAATATTGTAATCGTTTTACTCGAGTCAAATTTTTCAACGATAACTTTGTTGAAGATATTTTTAATGAAATTGTAATTTTTTCTGCAAATTTCTTGACATTCTTCCGATGCGATTTTAACATGTATATAATCTATTAGTTTACTATTGGATAGAAACGTAACTAAATTAAAGATATGGTATTCTTTCTAATAGATAGATAGAAGTAGGAAACTGATGAGAATTTCAACTTACCATATTAATAAACATTGAAAACTAAATTTAGTTCCGGATAAATAATTTATCGTATATTATTTATCCGGATAAATAATATAGCGAAAACAAGTAAAGACGAGTTTATACTGTTCATTTTGGTGAATCACAGCAGCTGAAACGACGTATGAAAGCGTCGTTTTTCGATGAATCAACATCGTGAATTCGGCTTTACTTGCTAAACTGCCGGTCGCGTCTGAACCAGCTTAACCGGGCTACTATCGAACCAAGGAAGGTTTAAAGATTCGGTTTCACGACCTCCTCCGTCATGGTTTCTTATTACTCGGCAGAAGCATATCTGTTTTTCTCATAACTTCTACCCTTTTCTTTGTGTCCTACTCAGAACAAGTTTACAACGATGTAGAAATTAACAAGCAGTTTATTTATCGTTATAGATGGTACAGAATCGGAAAAAGTAAAGTTCGAAGATTCGAGGGACTTAACGAGCGGATCGACTGGAACGGCCGGCAGCAGCAGCAACAAACGCGCCAAGAACAAGAAGAGACGTGAAATGCAACAGGAGTTCACGCATTCGTGGATGGTGGGTGTGCTGAAGGGACACACCGGTCCAGTTCTGGATATGAATTTTTCCAGTAACGGCAGATTTCTCGCAAGCTGTGCCGAAGGTATGTACCGATACAATTTAAGAAAATTTGTCCTACGAGAAGTCATTATCAGCATCTCTCTTATCGCTTTAGCGTTACATTTCTCTTACGCTCTAAAATGGGAATTTATAGGGTAAGAGCAGAGACTAACCTTGCAATATAATTTATGAATTAATAATATTTTGGTATACTGATTACATCACTAAGATTAAATAGGTCGCGTTGTTGATTAGAAGATTTCGATTATTAAGTATTTCGATTATCTGGAAAAGTTGCACAACGTTAAGTGGAAATTTCTAGTGAAGTTGAAAGGCCTCGAAGAGAGTCGCACGAGTTGTAAATCAAACGACGAGATTCATTTTGGAGATTTCTGACGATGAATGCTACGTTATTGGCGTGTGCAACAATTACCGCTATTGCGCGAGAAAAGCGATAAAAAAGTTATGTCTCTGATAAAGTCATCCGAAGGACAATCTTTCTTTTTTTCCACTTCTGTTTCTCTCCTCGACGTTTCTTTCAACTATTTCGATATACATACAACTCCGTTATAGCAAAACGATATTTTCTTTTTATTCAAGAAAATTGTTTATGTCTTCGTCGGTGACGCGGCGGACCTTTTTAATTTGCATGTGTCATCGTTACCTTGTTATTGTGCCAGTAACAATAGCCGATCTCTGTCTTTGCCTGTACCGTTTCTACAATTAAAACCTATGTACTTACATGTCTCTTGACGTTTTCTTCGACTCGATTCATGCGCAACGCGTGGCATATAAACGTAACCGCGATAAAAATTATACCCACCTTCCTGAAGTTGCGATATTAGATATACAAGATGTATTTTAATACGAATCATAATCTTTGGAAGAAAAACACTTCCCTATGTGACAAATGACAGTATATCACTGCACCGCGGATGTTCGTACTTTTATAGAAAAATTAAATGCGCGCAAATTATCCAAAGTAGGTAAAACATGCGGTATAATATTCAGAGGATTATTTAGGTTTTACATTGACTCATCAAAGTACTTGAATATCCTTGCCATTGGAAATTTTTGAAATTGAATTGAATTTTTTGAAATTTCATTATCAATTTCAAAACGTTAAAACATAATAATCAAACTAACTCGGTATTAAACTAATATTATTCATTTCTTACAAAGTATCCTGGCTTTGTTACCTATTTTTTAAATCTTACATCTTCGAATTTATCAGATTATTCCCTTTCTCGACTCTTTCGTATTAAAATACTTCTTTCTAGTCGCAAAGTCAACGAAAACGTGGATTTGCTGATATGATCATCATACATGGTAGGAAATCTTCCGTATAAAACTCGCAGAAAGGTTTTTTATCCGCTTACTTTTATTCGTATAAATTTGAATTTTCATAAATATTCGTAGTCTGCTTACTTATTATTATTAAATATTCGTGTTATTCGTTACTACAGCTTCTTCGTCTAGCTAAACGAACACAGAAGTAGACGGGCAAAATGTAGGTCGTTTGAGTGAAATCAAGCTGTTCCGAGCAAACTCCTTGATTTCTTGATAGACATTATCCTGTCCCGATCGCTTTTTTCTTTTACATCTCACCAATCTAGATTTATATGTATTACCGTTTCTTTGTATTATACTTCCTTGTGTGCTCGGAAAGGAGGAATGGATGACTCTCAAGCGCTATGATTAAATGCTATTTGCCCTTTTTTTCTTCTTCGTGAATCGATCCAATTATCTAAAGAAGGACGAACATAGAGAAAGTATGAAAACGATGGAAAAATCGCTCGCATCGAACGACTACTTTCACTATATCATCTTTGAAATCGGAACAGGATTAAACGCCCGTATTTCTCATTATCACCAACTGATACACGTATCATCGATATAATCGCCACTAACTAATTGATATTCAATTTGTACAACCGTAAAGTATGTTAAAGTACTTATGTTAGATGGATTTCGTAACGCGCCATGTAAGGATTAAAATATTTAAACAGTTCGTTGTGTCGTATCCTTTCATGGTTTTACGCGATGACGATCGTGGGTGACCCGTTGACCATGAAAGATTTTCGTAAAGCGGCGTCCACTTCTCTTACCGGTGAGTTTCTCTTCTCTCGCTTCTCCCGCCGCGTTTAACCTCGAATCCAGAGACGGGGCACATCATGCCACGTGTGTACGTGCATGCCCTCACGAGACATACCGAGAAACGTGAGTAACAAAAGGACTTCAGCTACGGGCTGCTGTGCTTCATGAAAAAGACGCCTTTTAACTGGAATGTCCACGACCCTAGTTGTAATACCTTTCGCCATCGTGTCGCTTAGAATTCTTCTTCTGCTCAGCTTATATCTTTCCTGTGTATACTTTTAATTCTTCACTTTTGCTCCTTTTTTCTTTCTCTTTTTTTTTTTTAAGTATTTCATATTTGTGATTTCTCTTCTAACACTGTGACTAGCTTCGAGAATAACTTTTACGACTCATGAAAAAATTTCGATACTTATCATAGAAACATTTTATGGATACATCGTGTGTGTATTATACAAAGCATTTTGAAATTTCGTTAGCACTGCGATGAGACGCGACTATTACGATTATATTAGTAAAATTTCATTCATATGGTAGAAGAATTTTTATTCAGTGTTTACTTGTGATAAATATTTGACAGCATAGTAACCGTGTCTCGTTGCAGTGGCAACAAAATTTTAAGAAGTTATTTAACGCTACTTTCGATTATTAAATCCTGAATGATTTTACGCATTTACGGAATCGGTCACTTCATACGTAGTAACGTAGTAGTACTGCGCTATCTCTAAACAAAAAATGATGCATACATAAAATTAGAAATATTTATATAACAATAAGACCCGGTCACGTTCGTTCGATTACTTCCAGCAAAATAATATGCTTAATTCCTCGCGAAATATTTGCCATTGTATTATCGTTGAAAAACATTCAGTAATTAATGTGAGTCATTAGTTACGGCCGCCTTAACCACGAAATCGTGTACTGTGAATCATTCCCTCCTTCGCGCGAAACAGTAATCACCAATGATCGTGAAATACACCATGTAGCGCCGGTAGAAAGTCACGGTTATTCTTTAAACATTCTTCCGTTTCCGATCGACGATTTGGGAAACAGTTTCGAAATACGAGTCGCGATCGAAAATAATCTCGGAAATGTCCGTCGATTGGCACATAAATTTAGAAAACGGCTAGTGAACTTGCACCGTTTCTCAAATCGTGTCTTTCATTGCACTATCATTACCTTGCTAACGCATTTGGATGAATTTCTTATCATTTCGGTATTCTTCGTATCGATGTCATTTCAAAGTTCTCCGAATCATTCGTAGCCTTTGATATATTACGTTTTCCGTTTTATTTCACCTGCGGAGCATTTACGTGATATTGGTATTATCATACAGAGTGTTCCACGCAAATGGGCTAACAATCAGCTCGACTTAGAGCTTAGAAGATTAAAAACAAAGAAAAAAAAATGAAAAGAGACACGAAGAAAAATAAAATGGTTTCGAATGACGTAAGATTTTAAGATCACGACTATTCTTAAATTGTGCTGCAGATTTGTTTTTATTTCCTATAAAAAATATTAACACACTTAGGTCAGAAATTGATCATATAGCTTAGAAAATCTTTAAATTTGCCGTATTAAATACAAGGAAACACGCGTTGCTTATTCTTCCGTATCTTTCTATTACTACAACTTCTGATAAATTGAAGTAAAAATATTTTTTTAAGTAACCATGTTCAGCATTATATTATACTAACTATAGCAGTGTTATAAAGAATCTTAAATTCAGCGAAGAAAAATGAAGTCGAGGCAAGGAAAATGATAATTTCAGGTTCCTTTATTTTCGAAATAAAACGATAGATAAGACACTTTGATTAAGTAAAATCATCAACATTCAAATAGCGATATCGATCGATCGATTATCCCGAATTTAATTCCACGAAGTGATATATAGAATTCGGGGCCACTGGCTGGTTGCTGCATTCGCTATCACCTTTCTGATGCGCGAACGTAACAAGCGTAGTTGTAACAACCTAATAATAGCGCGACGTGGGAAATTCTCTGGCCTTAAATCAAGCCCACACACCGAAGCAACAGACAGTTTATGATTACGCTACGGACTCGATGAAACGACTCGTCGTAAGTCGATAATTCGATGTGCGAGATTAGCGGATCGACGATCATCAAAATTACTGCTTCTGTTTCTCAAGCTTCTGATCCGCACACTTTCAATTATTTGCCGATATCGCGTCCCGCGCTTAAATTCGATGATTTTAAAAATCAAAATGCCGTATGGTGAGGTTTTGAAGGTTGAGGATTTATCGGCTGTTTCTATGATTTTTCATTTAAGTTAGAGACGAGTATAAATGAACGTAAATAAAGTAAACGAAAATGCGTTTTTAAAACGTTTTCTAAATGCTAATTTAAGTTAGTTTTACCTCGTAATTATTTCAGTAAATCAATCGACATATCAGTCTCTGAATTTTTTTATCAAATGTTGGGAAAATTACCTCGTAGCAGTTCTTCTTCTCTATCTCCCACCTTGGCCGCAGCTAGCATTCACACGGATACCGGGATTTGCTCGAATAATCAAACTATGCGAGGAGCAACGCGTGGCAGCCGATGATTTCATTAAATGACGCAACGGTACATATCGACGCCGGTCATTCCTGCGAACGGGGATACCGTTTTCCGTTATCCGAGTCACCGCTCAGATTTCCTCGTCTCTCCTTCGTCCTTCGTTCCATTTTTCGCTTGCCATCGCTCGAAAGCGCGGGGAATCTCTACTGATCGCGTCCATCTCTCTCTAGAAACTGGATTACTTGTTTATCGCTATTAAATTATTTCTATGCAATACTTATTCAACGTCTTCTTCGTAGAAATCACCGAGAAACCGATAAAATTATCACAAAGTTGAGGTAATCCTACTTTTCTCTTTGGCGTTCTTTCTTCGCCTTCTTTGGCCTTCTTTCTGAGACGTCACTGCTGACGTGGTATTATTTATATTGATTTCGTTCATAGGATGATTTTGAAGAAGGACGTATCAACGTTGTCGCGATCTATACATTTTTATTGGGTTAGTGGGGAAGCGACGTGGCCTTTATTTATGTAAAAATCAGTGAACATGCACGTGTGTCGTATTTAATCAACTATGATACAGTGACCCTGTAAACTATCTTTTTTTTATTCGTTCAATGGTATTTTCAATCGATTGCTCAAGGGAACCAAGTAGTATTTGAACACTATTTTTTATCATTCTACATTTGTCGTATATATTATTGTATATGTGTTGTTTGAGAGATTTGTATACTTTGTATAAATCTACATGTAGTTTCCATTTCCCTTAATCACGTTTAGTAAATATAGGAAATTGTACAAAGATCCACGAAATACTAAGAACTTTTTTATATTTTGCTCAAACTTCTGATACTTTTTAACGCCCAAAAAATGCAATTAAGTAGAAAATCACCGAAAGCTCTGTTTCTCGTTTTGTTCTTTGATGATTCGAAAACTCGAGGTTCAACATGTCTGTGTTCTATTAGTAATCTTGAGAAATGTAGAAACACGGTAAAATATACCACGTGTAAATACCAGAACATGCCAAGAAATGTATAGGTGATACGAAAGTATGTAGTATTTATTATTAGATAGACGTAAAAGTACTGAAATTGGAACTTCTAATATTTAAGGCATATAACTTAGGATTGTATTTAAAAGCAATCTTGTAATTTTGTAAGAATGTACCAAAGAGATATATATTAAATATTTCGTTTTAAATCCAACTTTAATATAACATCATCTTATACATACATAATACAGCATGATTGACCAAACAAATAAACTTCATAGTTCCACAGCTGTTTCTGTCGAAATCGTAAGCCAATTTTCTGAAGTTCTCTGTCACATGACTCGCTCTAAATAAACATTTCCCCAAATTGTATGCACTCGTTTATAGTAAACACGCCGTCTCTTCAAGTCGGATACATTTTCTTTCAAATTCAATTAATCTAAAAAAAAACCTTTCGATTTTTAAACAATTGCACACTCCGGATCCGTTGAAAGATTTCTTTTCCAGGCGCGTTCGTTAAAACGCAGCTATGAAGCGTTGTTCCTTCACATTCTTCTCTTTCTTCTTTTCTCGTTCGCCGTGGATATCATACGCAATTGATTTAAGTTTAACAATAAAATCATGGAAATTTTATAGAATCTTCCTGACTTCGTTTGTACCGCGAATTTAGACGTGCACGGTATACGTATTCGGTATTCGTTCGAAAGAAAGGAACGGCATTTCTGTCCGTAAAAACGTAGAAAAGAAAGCGACCCTTTCCGTGACGCATTCGGCGAAAGTTGCGTATTGCTGAATAAACAAGAGGCGTTAAAACGGTTCACCTTTTATTGGCCGCCTGTTTTTTTGTGCTTCGGTCCGTAACGAGAGCGTAACGCCACTCGATTGTGCCTTTTATTTCCCGTGATTAACACGAACGAGGAACGTCCGAAGATTCTATCTGCTTAGCTGGCAACGACTCGTAAACCAGTCGAATTTTTGCTAAGTTTTATATGGATCTTGTTTTAGAGGAAATTAAAGAACTGGCTTGCATCGAATTGCTTTTTTCTCGAATATCGTTTAGGAGAACGAAGTTTCGACGAAAATGTCTAATTTTCAATTTCCTTTTCATTCATTTCTTATAAAAATGTTTGAAACATTCCTTTAACGAGTATTAACGTTGGTGCATATGAAATGTCATTTCATCGAAGTTTGAATTTGGCGAGTTATACCAACTACTTAGCCTATTTGTCAATTAACAGTCATGTTAAAGAAAAAATAATTTACTATAAATTAGATATCCATTTCTGTAATTTCTGTAAGTCGCGTATATTTAAGAAAATTGAAATGAATCTTTTTAGAATTTAATTATCTCAATTATCAATTAATTATCTCATGACTAATTTGTAATGTACATGTAACATGTACATTTGTGAGCTGACAGATTTTTCACTAGGCTATTTATGTTTTAGAAACTACACAACGATAAAGCTTTTATCTGAAAGAATATTTCATATGCAGCAACCTATTCAGCATCGATATTAAAGAAGAGAGCACTACCTTCGTTTTAAATTAAAAATTTAAAATCTGAAGATTCGCGTTACGAACGTTCGTCGACAAAGGTGCTTTATTGTAGTCAATATGTACAATCGCCGATGTGGACGCTTATACAATGATGCGTTTACATCGTGTCTCCTTTATGAACAGACAAAAATCCATATATGTTATTTCATACGTCCGTGGCAAGCCTCCACTTTCATATTTTCTTCTTTCGAGAGAAATTAATCACGCAGTACTCTCAACACGATCTTTCCATACAGCCGTGTTCGCTTCTCTATTTCGCGAAGTATTCGCGAACTATATTCGAATTTTGTACGATTTTGTAGATATCGGTGTTCAAGGCAGAAATATGACGGTCTCTAGTTCAAGAGCGATTGATGTGACCGCGAGTTTTGGATGTATTTTTGATCACATCGACGGAAAGAAAATAAAACGAGAGAGGAAAAAGTATAAATATAAAGTTCTTTTTACTCTTGACGTATCTAGTCAGAGGAGAAATTTACCATACTAAAAGACTATCCCATTTAATTAATTAAATTGGCAATAAAACTAAAAAAGTATCTTCCATTGCGAGAAAAACAACATCACGACGATCTAATATGAAATTCAATTTGAAAAGTTTATCAGTCATGAATATATTCTAAAGAATGTACAATTTATCGTAAGAAACATAATAAGGAAATCACGTAGAGATATTTAGAAGCACTGAGGAGATGTTAGAAATAGGACAGAGATGCATGCGCGTGGTGTGTGGCAAATTCTTAACAGTATAATGTAGGAGATTTTTAAGTCTCGCTGCCGGACGATGAACTGACGCATATATGTTTTTGTATGTGACATAAAGATTGCGGCCTGGGGCCGGAAGAAGAGGTGCTGGATCCTGGGGAGACCGATCAATACAACAACTGTCAGGCGAATCATGAGACATCAGGTTCAACGAAGGGGAGCAACAGCAAGTCGCCTTCCTCAACTTCCGCGTTGGCGACAATTACCGCATCCGATGGCCCATCTGCAACCTCGGACGGAGTAAATTCGACGACGACATCGTCGTCAACGAAGGAAGACCGAGCCATCCTAAGTAGAAGGCAACGAAAAAATCGTACCAGAACTCCACGAGATCAACGTCGTGAGCTTCGGGACGACGAACACGAAGACGAGCAGTCCAGCCAACAGCAACAACGGCATCGTCGACACGTCCACTGTCGAGACTCGGAGACCTCCGAGATAAAGTCCACGGCGAGAAAAAATTCGTGTTCCAGAAGAATCCAGATTCAGAATGATCCTCACGACGAGGAAAACAAGAACAACAGCGAGCCCGGGACAAATGCAAATGGCAGCTTGAGGAAGTCTCGCGGTATTTTTCCGAGCACTCAGAGAAGGGAACTGCAGCATTTGAGTGACGCAGCTCTCGCTTCGTTGCTTCGCAGATACACGCTCACCGGGGAGCAGCTAGCTCACCTTGGCTATCCCGTGGAGTACAGTTATTTCCCTGGCTACGCGGTGATTATCAACCATTATCAGCACCCGATGGGTCACCGAGCTCGTGGCTATCATCATTTGGACGCGAACGCGCAGGAATTCGTACCTGGCGGCAGCAGTGCTATGTGGCCGGTGGAGAGCGAGGGAGACAGTGGACATTGCAGCGGAAGTTCGGTGGAGAATTCCGATCTAGAGCAAGAGAGTGCTTCGGATAGTGATAAAAGTTCAGACATCGGCGAGTCGTCGTCCTCTACCGATTCATCATCTTCGTCATTTTCTTCGTCCGATTGCAGTTACCAAGAGCAATCCAGAAGCGACCCGACTCGGGATTTCTACGAACCGATCCTGGTCGTCGATGAAAGAAAATGTGCCAGATGTTACAGAGTGTTCTACGTGAACCAGAACAACGGTGAATACCTGTACCACGAACCATGCGTCTACCACTGGGGCAAGCTACGTAGCGGCCTTGTAGCAGGCACTCACTGTGATACATGGGAGTGTTGTCGAGGACGAGATAACGCCCAAGGCTGCACTATAGCTCGAATGCATGTGTGGACGGGATTGGCGCCGGGTTATAACGGCCCATTCGATGGCTACGTCCGTACCAGATTGGCGAGAACCGTGCCCACGGATGGCAATTATGGCGTTTATGCTTTGGACTGCGAGATGTGCTTTACGCGGCGCGGTCTCGAACTAGCCAAGGTCACCGTGGTCGGCATCGACGGCAAGGTCGTTTACGACACTTTGGTGAAGCCGGACACCGAGGTGATCGATTACAATACCAGATTCAGCGGCATCACTGCAAAAGATCTGGCAAAAGCGACGAAAACACTCAGGGACGTTCAGAGGGACTTGACCAGTTTCGTCCACGCGGAGACCATACTCATAGGTCACGGGCTGGAGAACGATCTGCGTGCGCTCAGGTTACTCCACACGACGGTGATCGACACATGCGTCGCGTTTCCGCATTTCCTCGGTTATCCTTTTCGTAGCAGTCTAAAGACGTTAGCGAGGACGGTGCTACGTAGAGAAATTCAAGTAAAAGGGCACGATTCCGTGGAGGATGCTAGGATCGTGATGGATCTTATGTTAAGGAAGCTGCAGCACGACATCTCGTAGGATCATCAACGACCAAGAAAAAGGGAATTCGCCTAGAGAGCGGAAAAAGGAGTGCAGTGAATGAACCGCCGGACTTCTTTTTCGCGAGATGCTCAAACAAACTGCGTGGTGAAAATCGAATTTCTTTTTCGTCGTCGAGCAATTTGAAATTCGGATGTTTGCTATTATGTAATCTCGCCGCGTAGGATTCCATGGAGAGGTTAAAATGCGTAAACGTCGATGGTTCACGATCTTCGTCTTCTCAACTTAATAAGTTGAATCTGTTATGAAAACGTTAATTGTGTCGGCCTGCGCGAGTAACTTCCGTCAGTGTTCAGTTCCAAGTGAAGTCTGTGATACGTAACAAAAAAAAAAAAAAAAAAAAAAGAAAATAAAAAAAAAAAC